GCAGGATATAAAAACAGACCGAATTTCCCATGGCCTTTACTATTTGCAAAGTAGCCCTTTGTCCATACCCATTACCAAATTTCAACCACTTATATAAAAAAGTAGCCGAAATCCTCAAAGGTTTCGTTAGATCAGAGGCTTTACGAGAACTGCACCTGTAAATACAATTTCTCTCATTAGAGATGTTACCCATTACGAACTCCAAAAGTTTTTCACCTTTTAACTATTTTTTGTTCAAAATTCCCCATACACCGGCAACACTGTCACCACCGTCGTCTGCATTATTATTATCCGCATCATGCTGACAATCATTGCTTAATTAAAAGTGAAATATTTTGGTTTTTATTTTTGTAACCTCTGGCTGACCAACCAACAACCATACAATTTGATAAATTGCCATAAATGAAGGATGGAAAGATAGGAATAATGTTTATCGGAAAAAGTTTACATTAAATTAAGAACAGGAAGGTTAATAAAAACAAAATGTACTGTTTTTTGTTTTTGCTTAATTCAGTAGCATATTATGAAGATAGTAATATTAAAACATCAGCATTTGACTGTGACGGTAAGAATAGAAAAGGAATATATTTTTCTGACATAAGGTGTGTCTGGTTACTTTTCCAGCAGGAATTGTCCAGTAACTTCTTTCTGAGAGAGTAAGGTAGTTTTATTCTCTTTTGCAAGGAAAATGCGAAAAGTAAACAGACGGTATTCCTGCAGAAGCTTGCAACTAATCAGCTGATTTGTCAAAACAAACCAATTTGTCCCCCATAAGGAGAATTAAAACAAAGGAAGCAATACTAATTTTACAAGTTTTTTAAATAAAAATGTTGGAAATATTCGTTTATTTTCTTATTGCATATTAACTTTACGTTTTTCACATTTTGTAAAGTTGTTCTCCAAAAACTATTAGTCTTGCTAATTCCAAAAAATATATTTTCAAATTGAAAGCACAAAAAGAAATAAAAAAACAATAGAAAACATCTGATTGAATGTCGATGAATGAGAAGAAGACGAGTTGCAAGTGATTGCAAGAAGAAATTTTTCCAGCAAGAATTTGCAAACTCTCACTGAAAGAACTGTCAAAATTTCTCTCTCCAACCGCTCTCTTTTGCAGAACTTTTGGGTTAACAGACGACTTCCAGTAACAATTTGTAACAATTGTTACAAACTTTAGGGTAACCAGACACACCTATAGTCATCAGATGGATTTTTTGCAAAAGAAGAAAGTAGTTTTACGTTGATTTAGTTCAAATTCGGTACATTAAGTCTGGATTTACCAACACCGGTAAAATATACTGATCAATATACTGAAAGGTCAGGAATGATAATAACACATTTTTTAGTGTTTTAGAAAGGTTATAGTGCTAACTATAATTTGGCATATAATGTGGCCATTTTCGAAATGTGGCGGACTTTATAAAAACCCGAGCCCAAAAATCTATAATTTTTTTATAGCTCGAGTCTAACGCTGGTCCTTCCCCCCAGAAAAAAATACTTTGCGGGTATCAGGTTACTATTAATTGAATGCAAAGACCCCAATCTCTCCAGCATAGAGGAATGATAAAAACACATTTTTTAGTGTTTTAGAAAGGTTATAGTGCTAACTATAATTTGGCATATAATATGGCCATTTTCGAAATGTGGCGGACTTTATAAAAACCCGAGCCCAAAAATCTATAATTTTTTTTATAGCTCGAGTCTAACGCTGGTCCTTCCCCCCAGAAAAAAATACTTTGCGGGTATCAGGGTACTATTAATTGAATGCAATGAACGAATCACTCAATATATTGGGATACTTTATTGGACTATTTTAAAAATAGTCATATTACGAATGTGAGGGACTTAAAACCCCAAAATCGGATGAAACATATATATGGCAGCTATAGTTATATCTGAAACGATTTTTACCAAATTTTATGAACTTGCTCCCAGACTGAATTCGGTCGGATGTACCAAAATGCAGGACTTTTTGACAGATGTTGGTCATTTGGTGCACAATTAACCCGAAATAAGTTGAAGATATATATAAGCTATATCCAAATCTAAACCGATCTTGATAAATTTTGGCAGAGGTATTTCGGAGATCTACATGATGTCTGGTACCAAATATCATTGTTGTCGAATGCATATTACGAATGTGAGGGACTTAAAATTGAATGAAATATATATATACATATATGGGAGCTATAGCTATATCTGAACCGATTTTGAACAAATTTGATCTACTTGCTTCTAATCTAAATTCAAGTCATCCATACCGATATTGGTTATTAACCCAAAATGAGTTAAAGATATATGGCAGCTATATCCAAATCTGAACCGATCTTGATAAAATTTGAACCGATCATGATATTTGGTACCAAGTATCATTGTTGTCGAATGCATATTACGAATGTGAGAGACTTAAACACCAAATCGCATTAAAGATATATATGGAAGCTATTGCTATATCTGCATCGACTTTCTCCGTATTCGATTTACTTGATTCTAATCTGAATTCGATCGGATAAACCAAAGTTCAGTTCATTTGGAGTGATATTGGCCATTAGGTGCACAATTAACCCGAAATCAGTTGAAGATATAAATTTGAACCGATCTTGAAAAAAATGATATATTTATTACTGAGCTGTATCTGATATCTGGTACCAAAGATTATTGTTGTGAAGTGCATATTACGCATGTGAGGGACTTAAATCACCAAATCAGATGAAATGGTAGCTAGAGCTATATCTGAACCGATTTTGAACAAATTTGATTTACTTGCTTCTAGACTGAATTCCGTCGTAATTGCTTAAATTCAGTCCATTTGAGCTGATATTAGTCATCTGGTGCACAATAAACCTGATATCGGAAAAAGAGCCATATCATAATCTGAACCAGTCTCGATAAAATTTGACAGAGGTATTTTCGAGCAGTATCTGATATCCGGTACCAAATATCATTCTTGTGGAGTGCATATTACGCATGTGAGGTTTATCTTTCCGTTCTCTACTACGTTGTGCTTCCAAAAGATTTGTAAAAAATATGTTGCGGTCATATTTGGAATTTTATGTCAGAACAAATTTTGATATTACCTGAATTCAGAGCACTCCATAAGGGATTTCTCCAAATTTCTTTCTGATCTAGAGTTATTATATACTAATCCAGCATCATCCATCCAAGTTGAAAAAATTGGAAAAAGACATTTAACAGCTTTTTTCGATTATCTCTTAAAGTTTTCACTCAAATTAAAAGTAGGAATTAAGATTTTATGTTAATTTTTACAAATTTCCATTCTTCCAGTACGGCTTCCATACAAAAGTTTAGTCCAAATTTCCATTCTATCCAGTAGGGCTTCCATATGCAAGATTTGCCAAAGTTGAGGCCATATCTGAATTTTGATTTTTATATATTACCTTTATGCAGAGCACCCACAAAAGATTTAAAAATCACTATCTCGCTTCCATATCAAGGATTTGTCAAAATTGATGTCACATTTGATTTTGGGATAAATTTTGATGTTTGCTATGCATTAAATAGCACCCACAATGGATTTCAATATCACAGTTCCTCATGTTTTTTATTTTAAAAATTAAACAATTGCTTCTTTTTGTTCCAATAGTTTTGTATATTTTTCGGTTGATATTTTTTAAGGATAGCCTTCTCAAGACATTCTTAGTTTTTGCTTCCATTTCTTTAAAAAAATATGTCTAAAAGTAAAGATGAGAACACACACAACCATGGTACAATGAAGAGAAGGTAGGTCAGCTTTGAAAAAATTGCAAGTATAGAGGTCTACCTGTTTGGCTTGTTATGTCAGAATTACTATCAAAACAATAAAAAAAATCAAACAACTTGTTGCATTTACTTTGAATAAATAATTGAAAACCGCGATAACTGAATGAAAGGTTAACACTTCTTTTCAAAATCATGTACTATATATCTCTAAAGGATTATTTCGCTACAAAAACTTTAGATTTTGTCGATGCATACGTTGAAATAAACATTTTGAAAACACCCGAATTTGAATATTTTCTGAACAATTTTTTTGTTATTGCCCAACTTACCAAAATGGCTTGAGAATAATATTACAATAAGCTTATGAACATAAGCCTTAAGCTTGAGAAAATCTTGAGAAAACATTGAAAAATGTTTGTGTAACAAGTATAGAATAATCGAAACGGAACCCTTATTTATAAGCTTATACTTGAAATTGTAGAATAAGCTTACAAAAATAATATTAAAATAAGCTTATTTTTGTAATAGTATATAATAATATTTTTTTTTTAATTTTTAATCATTTTTCACATTTTTTTTCTTGATGGACATCCCAGTAGTCACTCCTTCATGTGGCCTTGATACCCTGACGCTTTCTTCTCCCTTATTTGAACTTCTGCATCTCTTGTATCTCATGTATTGAATTCCTTCAACTTTTTTGATGATTCCAATCTGAAATGGGATTGGAATAATTTATGTGAAAGATTCCCGGATTTATTATTCATCCATACCTTAAGGGTTCGGTCCAGAAATGGGTCCTAAATTCGCGTGATTTTGTTTTTTGCCAAAGAAAATAATTTCTTGCTGACAATTTTTACAAAAAAGCAAAACTAATTTGTCAGCAGGGGACAGGTTTGAGAAATGTTTGTGGAACATAAGTGTTTCTCAAGCATTGTTGAAAAATTATATTTTTATAATATTGTTCTCAAGCTGTATTGTATTTTTGGTATGTTGGGTGAAAAGAAAACACATACATAAACAAATAAAGATGACATATTAAGCCAAGAAAATAAAAAAATTAAAACCATATGGTATCATAGCCCTACCTTGAATTCATTGTACCATGGCTCTACCTTGATATCATTGTACCATGCACACAACAGTTTTTACGCCAAACGTTGTTTATGTGCTCACACAATTGTAATATATTAAAGCGGCCATCGATACACGACAACCCTACATCAACGATGAACAGCTGTTCGTTTGTTTTCATTTCTGTCTTTGCTAGCTAATTGTGTGTTTTGTTGTTGTGCTTGACACACGCAAACACAAACAACAGAGAAGTTGGACTTTGTGTTTTGTTTCTTGAGAGGTAGTCGGTCAGTGACGAAACATTAAAATATTTGCAAATTTTTAGCTTAACACAACATCTATTTATAAATAGGTCAATTAAACGAAATTATAAGTGAAAATGGTGCGCGGTCAATTGGGTTTTTATGCTGCTAACCGGCAATTGTTGTCTCGATCCTGGGCAAAATGTCAATCGAAACCATTGATTTTACGTTCTATGGCATCATCATCGGATTCGGATTCCTATCAATATTTGCAGCGTTCCAAATTGCCCACAATGTATTTTCAAAAATCACTGCCACGTCTTCCCATCCCATTGGTGGAGAAAACTTGTGAACGCTTTTTGGCTGCTGTTCAACCCATAACAACCGGCGAAGAGTTTGCCGAAACGCAACAAGTTGTTGGTGAATTCAAATCGAATGAAGCTGTCGAGTTGAATGCTATGTTGAAAATGAAGGATGAGGCAAATAAGCATACAAGTTATATATCCGAACCATGGTAAGTTTGAAAAAGGTACCTTATTGAAATAATCAATTTTTTTAAAATACCTACAGTTATCTAAATGTTTATACCCTACGCCACACTGTGGTAGAGTGTATTATGTCTTTATCTGCCGAAATATTTTTGTAAACAAAGTACTGGTAGCATCTATTATCCGATTGAGATGACATTTTTTAAACAGTATTTGTCCAAAAGTCCTGAATTATGGCACATCCGACCGAATTCAGTCAAATTTACTTCTGTCAATTTTTATACCCTCGGCCATATGGCTAGAGAGAGTATATATCTTTGATACGACCAAAATGTGCCACTGCCAAGTTCATGTCTATAATTTTGGGCGAGAATCGTTTCAGTTTTAGATATAGTTCCCATATCTATTTTCCTCCAATTTCAATTTTATTGTGCGTCATATGTGTAATATTCGTCCAAATGGAATGGATTTCGGCACATTTGATCGAAATCAGCCCAGAAACAAGAACTTCAAATTTGCTGAAAATCGGTTCTGATATAGCTATAGCTCCCACATGTATGTTTTTTGACGTTAATTGTGCACCATATGGTTAATAAACTCAGCCCAACCGCATACGGTCGAATTCAGCCTAGAAGCAAATACTTCAAAGTTGGTGAAATTCGGTTAAGATATAGCTATAGCTTTACATTAATTTCCCATATAAACGTTTATTTGTAACGAGTAGCTCTACTAAATATGATTGGTATCCTAAAGTCGGTCCCGCCCGACTTTTGACCTTTCTTTTGTCCTGTGTAATATCTGTCCTTGTTTTGCAAGAATAAAATGCGTTAAATCAACCCATTCTCTACCTCAGTCAATAACCTCAAGGCCTGAAGACAGTATCGCCGATACACCAGGTTTGCCTTTACTCTATGAGGCATTGACTCCTTACTCAACACAGAGTTGTTTTATTACCTTATAAATTGCGACCATTACAAACCCTTGGCTTTAAAAGTTGACTGATTATACACATAAATTGTCACTGATTCTGTAATCTCATTTTTTCGTTTTTATGACATTTTTTCTGTATTCCTGGACACAATACAATTACTAATAGACACGTACTGGACAATTCTTTATACGTTATATGGGTATATGGGTAGAACATCTAGAGAAAGATTTAATCGTTTATCATTTATAGAAATCAGCATCTAAGTCGCATCAAACTCCATTGTTAGAGAATTGATATTATGTATTGATGGGCAGTTAATTATATTAATATTAACTAATATCCACACATAAAGGTACCTCTATTTAACAAAATTTTAAATGTAATATATATTAAAAGTTTTATCTTAAATATCCATTTAAATCAATAGCTAGTGGTGGTAAAGGGCTGATTGCTTTTAACCCTGATTATAGAAATATACTTCTACTATATCTATTTATAAAGAACATTTCAAACAGTTCAGAATTTGAATGGAAAACCCTGAATTTTTGTCTGGCATTTTTAAAAAGTACGAATGGACATATTACAGAAAAACATATGAGCCAAATTGTAGTCAGACTGTTCCATATTTTTGTGTGCATTCTGAAGATTGTTTTGTTTTGAAATTTTTATACTCTACTATACAATTGCCTTTGCCATTTTCTTTGAAACTCCGCGAAATAAACGTGATTATATAACATATTTATCAGCGTAGTCTACAAAATAAATTAGGCGAAGTCCGTCTGCCTGTCGGATGTATCGCGCTATCTTTTGAGTGGATTTGGATGAGAGGATAAGTTTCTGCGCACTTGGCTGTACCTCGGGTTATTCGGTGTTTTGGCAAATTTAGGAACATTTTGTAACGGGATTTAAAGTTTATAATTGGTTCTACTTTCCGTGGCAGAACATGACCTATGTGGTCTAATTCCTTTCTGATAAAGACCTTAGAAAGTTTACTGAACCCGAAAATTCTTTCAGATCAAACCCATCAACAATAAGCACATCGCCCGCTTATGCCAAAATTCGATTATAAGACTTCCCTACACAAATTTGTCGGACACAATGAGAAACATTTTAAAAATTCCAAGCTTTCAACACTGTGAGGCTCAAGTCGATCCATAACGCTATCTATGCTATGGTATTACCTCAAATCGGATTGAAAGGATGCTTAAAAGCTGTATTATCGATTCGAGCTTGAGAGAGAGAGAGTTCCATCAGGAAAACTGTTAACGGAGTTAATCCACAGAGAAATATTATTTTACCTCTGCGTTGGCTTCTTGTGATAAATAAAATAATAAGGAGTCTTCGATCAACTATGAAGGTATTCGCCTTCGCCGATGACGTAGTGGTGTGATACTGTACCAGTGCATCTTGCATACCCAGCAGTTGTCTAGTTGAGCCCATCACATTAATCTGGTAGTAAACCTTGCAACGGATGTATTAATACTATTTACTAGAAATTGCAAAGTGGGAATATTTTGACACTGAACATTTATTTGGTTGCCAAATATCTCTGTACGATTCTAAACCAGCCAGAAAAAAGCTGGGGGTCTCGACATAACAGTACCAGTGACTATATATGTCAATAGTCAGATAGCCCTCAAAGCTATCAAGTTAAATTCCATTAAATCGAGAACCATCCATGACTGCGAGAGAGTCCTTCGTGAAATATGTGAATTTTTTAAGCTTCTTACGAGGACGTAGTAAAATAGTGGGGAATTAAATGGCTGACCAGTCGATTAATCTACCAACCGATTAGCCTGTCGAACCATCTATAAGCTATTATGTCAGTCGCTCCAAAAAAGCTCTCAGCGAAGAAGCTGGTATTTGGAAACCGATTGCTAGATATCTAGGGCCATCTGTCCGTCAATAAAAAATAAAATAACTCCCACCATGTGGAAAAACTTTAAAAATTAAAAAAATCCATTTAAAAATTTGCCTGAAATCATAAAAATACCGAATATCAGGGCTGCCGTTATATGGGGGATATGCGATATCTAGACCTATATAGAAAATTCTCTTCTAGGGGATAAAGTACTTACAAGTGTGAATTTTCAGACAATTCCTTTAAAAATGTGACGTTTACGGGGACCCATAAAGATAATTCACTTCCAGGGGTTAAAGTACTCACAAGGAACTCCTTGTGTGGATTTTTAGACAATTCAATTGAAAAATGTGGGTAAAATCATAAAAAATATCGAATATCAGCAGGTGCCGTTATGTGGGTGATATACGATATTGTGGACCTATATAGACAATTCTCTTTCAGTTGGTAAAGTTTAACAAAGAACTACTTTCAGACAATTTCATTGAAAAATGTGGCTAAAATCATAGAAATACCGAAAATTGGAAGGCCAATCAATTTCATTGAAAAATATGGCTAAAATCATCAAGATATCGAATATCGGGGGGTACCCTAATATGGGGGCTATAAAATATGGTGGATCGATATAGCGAACTTGACCTGCCTGCAGACAAAAGACAGATCTGTGCAAAATTTTAGCCTCCTATCTTAATTCGTTTTGACTGTAGAATAATTACATTAGACCCCGGACAGGGCTAAATGGTCTTAGAATTTTACGCTGATCAAGAATAATTACACTTTCTTCGGTCTAGAATTGTTATTTCGACGAGTTACAAAGGGAATAACAAACTTTATATACCCTTCATACTATGTATGGTGGAGGGTATAAAAACCATATCCCTTCTATCAAGTTGTAGGCCTGATCTAAGAATCTTGATGCCAGAGCGATTTAAACAAAGTAACACGGTATTGTTTCAAATTCAGTTGCTCCAGTTTTTATACCCTACAACACTATGTGTTGGGGGTATTATAAGTTTGATTGGGCCAAAAATTATGTAACACCTCGAAATATTGGTTTCCCACATAGGAAAGTATATATGGATCTTCGTAGCTCGCCGAGCTGAGTCGATCTAGCTATGTATGTCCGTCCGTCCGTCTGTCCATGTTAATTTGTAATCACTCTACAGGTCGCAATTATGGCCCGATCTTCACGAAATTTAGAATGTAGGTGGGGCTTGGACCAGAATAGAACCCTATTGCTTTTGGAGATGATCGCCAAATGTTTAGTTTTAGGTTGAAATGGACCAAATACTAAAAAAATGTCGGATTTTGCAGTAGCTATACAGGTCGCAATTATAGACCAATCGACGTGGAATTTTGCATGTAGATAGAGTTTAGGGCGGGGAAGAAGCCTACTAATTTGGGTGGTCATCGGATAATATTTAGCGGGTAAAATAGACCATATCTTTTGTGTTGAAAAAAAATCAAAATTTTTCATTAAACCGTGAATATTTTAAATCCCGGCGAAATCACAAAGCCATCACAAGGTTACTTCTGACCTTTACATTGATGTTATTATCCAACAAATCGGATATATAGCAAAATATGTGCGATATATATATGAGATATGCTTGAAAGATCTCTTAAATGTCGAGAACGGCTGAACTGATTTCGACAGTTCTCATTAATTCAGAATGGCCTCTTGGCAGGAAAGAAAAAATGTCTAAAAAAATCGCATAAAAATATCTCTCTAATAATGAAAATATTGATTTTGTAACATTTTCTCATATTTTCAATCAATATTTTTGGCATATTTTCATTTTGAATTAAACATTTGGTAATATTTCTACAGTTAACAAAACTAAGTAGTTAGGATATCAGGATATCATATACAGATCTCATTTATGGCCCGATCCTTAAGAAATTTTGCTTGGGGATAAGATGAGTGTCAGAATAGAAGCCTACTCTCTTTGAAGATGATCGCCATATATTTAGGGGTTGAAATGGACCAAAAAACTGCAAAATTGTCGGCAAGTCGTAATTATCGCCCGATCCTCACGCACATTTGAATGGGGGTTAACGCACATTGCAAAAGCCAAGCAGTTTCGGATGGCCATTCAAAAATATTCAATGTGTGAAATAGTTTGCCAACTTTTGTGGACTAAATACGAAAATGTCCATTCCAGCGACTTTTTGGAGAATTCACAAATGCAGGAAAGACGCACTTCTGACTATTTCCTTAACGCTGATTTCGTTGAAGAATACAGTCAAATGGCTGTATCTCATATAGTCAGTCAAAAACCAATAATAAATGTTAATCTTTTCTCACTTCTGAGGGATTATAGGTCTTTGGGAAATATTGGTTCCAGATCTAGGAAGACCGTTTAGGTTCAACATCTACCAATAAATTGGAAATGAGCAACGAAACCTTATGGTTTTCTTTTATTATTTGTCACAATATCTTGTGGAATTCTGTCGAGTATTTCGCCTATATAAACTGTATGGTTTATTATAGTGTTGAAGGGTATTCAACGGTCGGCCCCGCTCGACTGTAGCCTTTGCTTACTTGTTCGTACATAATCCACAAATATTTTTACCTTCCCATTTGCAGGTTTGATATGTATCTAAAGGACCGCGCACCCCTACCACTCAACTACAATCCTCTGCTGGCGATGAAAAATGATACTCGTCCCGAATATCAGCATCAATTGGTCAAAGCTGCCAACATTATCATTACATCCTTGCGTTTTTGGCGTTCGCTGCAGGCGGAACTACTTGAACCCGAAGTATTTCATATGAATCCCAAGAAAAGTGATACCGAAAGTTATCGTCGTTGGATGCGTTTGACACCAAAAATAGTTGCTACCTATGCTTCGTATGCCTTTAAAGCATTTCCCTTAGATATGGTACAATATGAACGTCTCTTTGGTACATCACGCATTCCGGGCATGGAAAAAGATCATTTGGTACAATCACCAAATTCCAAACACATAATGATTATGCGTCGTGGTAACATTTATGCTGTTGATGTATTGAATGAGAATGGTTTGATTGAAAAACCTCAAGAGATTTTGGCACGCCTAAATGCAGTGGTAAATTTGGATAATTCTAAGCCGGCGGCTGAAGTTCCCATTGGTGTTTTGACGGCCAGTCAACGCAACGAATGGGCTCGTGTGAGGGAGTACATGACAAAGAGTGCTGTGAACGATGAACTGTTGTCAGAGCAAATTGATAAGGCTCTGTTTTGTATTTGCTTGGATACCGAAGAGGATCCTACTTTCAGCGAGGCAAATCCAATACCGGCTTTTAAGAATATGTTGGCTGGCAAGGCTACCAATAGGTAAGTGTTTAATGAAAAAAATGGGCTCGTTTAAAATTATTTACACTTTCCAGGTGGTTCGACAAATCCCTTTCAATGCTCCTAACTGCCGATGGTACAGCTGCCATCAATTTCGAACATTCATGGGGTGATGGTGTGGCTGTTTTACGTTATTTCAATGAGGTGTATAAGGAGACAATGAATAAACCTTATTTAAGTACTGCCGATCTTAAATCGGTTTCCCAGATTTCTGTAGATAGCTCCAAAGTGCGTTATCTTAATTTCGAAATTGATGATAAACTTAAAGAAGAAGTGCGCAAAGCCTATGATCAAAATCAAAAGAATGTGAATTCTCTGAACATGCAAATGCTAATCTATCCCAAACTAAGCAAACAGGCTTGTAAAACCGATCGTTTGAGTCCTGACTCCATTATGCAATTATCTTTCCAATTGGCCTATAAACAGGCATTTGGCAAATATGTGGGAACCTATGAATCTTGTAGTACAGCTGCCTTTAGACATGGTCGTACTGAGACGATGAGACCCTGTACCATGGCCACCAAAGAATTTTGTGATAACGTCTTAGCGTCCCAACAGAATTTCGATGCTAAAAAGCTAAGATCCCTAATTGATAAATGTTCCACCTATCACAGTCAGTTGACCAAAGATGCTGCCATGGGCCAAGGGTTTGATCGGCATTTGTTTGCCCTAAAGCATACGGCTGTTATTAACAATAAACCCATACCTAAATTCTATGAATTGGATGCCTATAAACGTATTAATTACAATATTATAAGTACATCTACTCTATCGTCGGATGGTTTGTTATCCGGTTCATTTGGTCCAGTAGTACGTGATGGTCTGGGAATAGGGTAAGTTGTTATTGTTGTTATAGCTAAATGGTTTCTAATTCTCTTGTCCTTTTTTTTTTTGGTTTTCTCTACTTTATGTTTAGCTATTCCATACAAAATGAAATGTGTGGTGTTGTGGTAACATCCTATGAAAACGGTTGCAATGGCCAAGAGTTTATATCGAGTTTGGAACAATCATTTAATACAATACGCCGTGTTATTGATGAAAGCAAATAAGGATTTGGTCTGCAAGGGGAGTTTGCCCGCTTTTGCTGTTCTGACTGCCACCTCATATCCCGTTCCCTTTTAGTTTGAAGTATAAAGTTTATGTATTTGTGCCTTAGGTCGAAAAATTATCGATACACTACGAGATTAATACCATATATTTTGTATATTTTATTTCATTTTAAATATCATTGTAATTTCTTGTTTTTATATTATTTGTATTTAACTTTTCCTTGCATTTCCCCATTGATATTAAGATAAAAGAGATCCGTTTATACGTATTTATTTGTTTTGAAAATTATATTATAAAAGTCAATAAAATTTATACTAATTTAGATTGTTTTTATATAATGGCGATTAATAAAATATTAAGAAAATCCATGAGAAGTGACATTCCAACGCCCAGAGACTCAACAGACAGCCAGCTGGTGCATCAATCCACAGAGCTAAGTTTATCAAAAAGAGACCCAATAGATTGAAGCAACCCTTGAGCAGTAATAGAGGATGTAATCACTCTGAACTCAGAGGAGCATATTATGAATAATATAATTGTAAAAATACTTCATCAAAATCTTATGAACCTATCCAAATTTCAATTTGAACCATTCAGATATATCCCAGACTTGATGGCCATAAAGGTAGCACACGTTTATTTTTAGTACAGAATATTCAGTTTATATTTTGCTTATTTCAATATCTATTCACTTGTATTATAATGTAAAATACGCATATGTGCATATATCATACAAGAAAAGTTCGAAAAACAAGGAAAAAAAGCTGTATGTTCGGCCGGGCCGAACTTTGAATACCCTCCACCATTTGGGAAAAATTTGGCAATTTTCAAAAAATAAAATCCGTTAAAATTCTTTTAAAATCTTAAAAATACCGAATATAGCCGTTATTTTATGGTCTATACGACGAGAGAAAATGTTCTGCCATAGTATCTATTTCGAACTTCAAACTACAAATTTGAAACAATTCCAGTGAATAATGCCGCAAAAATCATCAAAATACCGAATATCGGAAGGTACTGTTATATGGTGGCTATACGAAGACCTGCACATATAACTTTCTGTCTTAGGCTGTGGTATCCGTTACGAACTTCAAATACCAAATTTGAAACAATTTCGGTGAATAATGTCGCTAAAATCATCAAAGTACCGAATATCTGGGGGGACAGTTACATGGGGGCTATACGAAGACGTGAACATGCCCAGGCAATTTTCTGTCATAGGCTGTAGTATCCATTACGAACTTCAAATGCCAAATTTGAAACAATTACTGTGAATAATGTCTCTAAAATCATGAAAATACCGAATACCGGTAGGTACCGTTATATGGGGGCTATACGAAGACGTGGATCTGCACAGACAATTTTCTGTCTTAGTCTGTAGTATCCATTACGAACTTCAAATACCAAATTTGAAACAATTCCGGTAAATAATGCCGCTGAAATCATCAAAATACCGAATATCGGGAGGTGCCGTTATATGGGGGCTACACGAAGACGTGGACCTGCAGAGACAATTTTCTGCATAGGCTGTGGTATCGAACGAACGAACTTCAAATAACAAAATTGAAACGTTTCCGGTGAATTATGTCGCTTAAATCATCAAAATACCAAAATAGGGAGGTACCCTTATATGGGGACTATACCAAAACGTGAATCTACATGACAAATTTTCAATGTCAACAGTCCTGCAGACATAATATACATTTTAGTAAAATTTTACTAACCTACTTCATCTCGTTCGGATGCTAGACTGATTTCCACAGACGGACGGACATCGCTAAATCGAAATAGAATTTTATGCTTATCAAGAATATATTTATACTTTGTGGGTTCCAAAATGTATATTTCGAGGTGTTACAAATTGAATGACAAACTTAATATAATCTCCATACTATGGTACAGGGTATACAAACCGCATGGGAAAATAAGATATTTACATGTGCGTGGCTTTGAATTGCACTAAGAGGTTTTTTTTATCATGAAACTGCCTTAACCCCATCCCCCATCCCAATGCATACAAAAAGGGTATTAGATTGTATTTTGCATAAATATTATTGTGTGCCGCTTAGTAACCAGGCTATAAGACGAACAGTAATAACACTCTTCAAATACAGTTCATTATGTTTCGTTTTATAAAGATGAGCGTGTATACATTTCATAAAAGGATATGTAAGGAAGATTCAAACACGCACACATACACACATCTGCAATTGTAATGGCATCGTAAAAAATACACTCTTTTATTTACCTTGCGGTAAGTTTGAAAAAAAAAAACCGATGAAAAAGCCAAAACTCAAAGGAAACCCACCCGATGTCTAAAACGTGTATAGGAAAAAAAGAAGGATGGATGAATGAAAAAAGAACGAAGTACGTACAGAGTAATAACTCCTCAATGATGATTGTAATTTTCATATGAAATCAAGCACGAAATTAAATACCCATCATATTCCCAATAAAGATGAAGAAAACGGTATTCAAATATCATAGAAAGAAGCAAATAATGCCAGTACAATATATTACTGCGATACTTAGAATATTGATAACATTTACGTATGTAGGTAGGTAGGTACGAGTTGAAATGCAAACACATAAATCATAAAATCGTAATAATGTGTGATCATAAAACACGATAAAAAGGTGCAGAATTGAAAATTTGATTGGAGTGTGTTGAAAATGGTAATAAAAAAGTGAAATTATACCGGGCCAAAATAAGCACCCGTCACCATGTAATTGGCTCCAAACTAAAAAGGAATAATTTTACATAATATTTCTATACCCTCCACCATGGTATGGAGGGTATATTAAGTTTGTCATTCCCCCAAAGTATATATATTCTTGATCAGCATAAAATTCTATGTCGATTTAGCAATGTCCGCCCGTTTGTGGAAATCACTCTAGCTTCCGAACGAAATGAAGTAAGTTGATAAAATTTTACTCAAATGTATATTATGTCTGCAGGACTTTTGGTATTGAAAATGGGCCAAATAGGTCCACGTTTTGGTATAGCTTCCATATAATGGTACCTCTCTATTTTCGGTATTTTGGTGATTTAAGCGTCATTATTCACCGGAATTGTTTGAAATTTGGTATTTGAAGTTCGTAATGGATACTACAGCCTAAGTGACATTATTCCCCGGAATTGTTTCAAATTTCGTATTTGAAGTGCGTAATGGATGCTACAGCCTAAGACAGAAAATTGTCAGCGCAGGTCCACGTATTCGTATTGCCCCCATATAATGGTACCTTCCGATATTCGGTATTTTGATGATTTTAGCGAGATTATTCACCGGAATTGTTTCAAATTTGGAATTTGAAGTTCGTAATGGATACTACGGCCTATGACAGAAAATTGTCTGTGCAGGTTCACGTTTTGGCATTTTGATGAATTTAGCTACATTATTCACCGATTTTTTTCAAGTTTCACATTTGATTATTTTAATGGTTTATGACAAAACTTGCCTATGCAGGTCCACGTCGTAGTATAAATCCTAATATAACGGCTACATTCGGAATATTAAATTCTAAATTCGTATATATAAAATGTTCGGCCCGGCTGATCTAAACTATTCATATTAAGGTTCCTTAGAATCCGTTCATGTTAGGCATATAGTATCTTCAACTATTTTACTGTTAATTATACGAGAATTATTTTGGCTGAGAATGTTACCAAGGGGGTATTTTGGTGCTTTTTTTTCAAAAATTTGTTAAAAACTGCCTTTAAAAGGGATCGTAGCAAGTCAAAATATTCCGCAGAATTGTTTGTCATAATATTCTACCATACGACCTGGAAGATGTCAAAGTCTATATTTTACCTGAAAGCCAGAGGAGGTCTTTTTGGTGCTTTTTTCAAAAATTGGTATAAAACTGCTTTTAAAATGGATCGTAGCAAGTCAAGATATTACGCAGAATTGATTGCCATAAAATTCTACCATAGGACCTGGAAGATGTCAAAAGTCTCTATCTCACGCAAAAGCCAGAAATGCATATATAACCAGTAAGGAAAAGTCAAAAGTCCGGCGGGCCGACTTTATGATACCCTACACCACTATGCATATTTTGTAGAGCTTCCATAACAAAATAATTTATTTGAAGTATCTCATACCACCTATCAACATTTGGCTTTAGAGCATTTATCATTTGGTCCTAGAGGGTACTAATATATGGTCGGCATACCCAATTCTGAATCTGAATATTTTTATCTTTTATACCAAATAACATTGCCATAGGGTGCACGACCACCAAATAAAAACGTATATCCCGAAATTAACTCCATTTGGCCTAATATTAGCAATTATTTGCATAATAAATCTGAAATCGGATTAGGAACATATTTGAGAGCTATATCCAAACCTTTGTCGATCTTCAAAAAATTTGACAAAGATATTTCCGAGCTCTATAAGATATCTGGTACCAAATATCATTCTTGGGGACTTTTGGAGTGATATTGGTCATTTGGTGTACCATTAAACCGAAATCGGTTGAAGATATACAAGGGAGCTATATCCAAATATGATTCGATCTAACATAATTTGGAAGAGGTGTTTTTCGGGGCTGTATATGATATCTGGTACCAAGTATCAATCTTGTGGGGTGCATATAACGAATGTGAAGGACTTAAAACACCAAATCGGATAAAACATATATATGGGAGCTATAGCTATATCTGAACCAATTTTCACCAAAATTGAAGTATTGGTTTATAGGATGAATTCAGTCGTAATTGTCAAAATTCAATCCATTTGGACTGATATTGGCCCTTTGGAGTACAATTAACCCGAAATCTTTTGAAGATATGCAGGGTGAGATAAAAAAAAACTGCAACAAAGTCAAACGCCATAATTTTTACTTTTTTTTTTGGAAATAGTATCACATTTTAGAATATGTTTATATTTCGCTGCCCGAATGTGACTCTGCAGTATTTTGGTCCATTCCCGGCGAAGCGCTTGCTTGAGGCGATCGACACTTTGGTATTTTTTAGTACCAGCCTTGCTTTCCAAAATACTTCAGACACAATAGTCCAACGGATTGGTATCGAGAGATTTTGGTGGCCATTGTGCACTAGAAATGAAGCGAGGAACCTCATATTGTAACCATTTTTGGGTGGCGCGTGCTGAGTGCGATGGTGTTGAAGTCCTGTTGGAATGT